ATTAACATAAAATCTCCCATTAGTAGTTTTCTATGGAGATGACTGTACTTGTTGAATGATGATGCATTTGCTTCAGATATCTGTAGGTCTTTTTGTTTCAAACAGATACAATCAACCAAGGCATATTGTTCCAAAGAAGAAATAAGCTAAACCATCTTCTTACCAAGGCCAGAGATTGATTGTTCTGATCTATTTCCACTCTGTAACTACTTAAAGCAATTCACTTTCATTTCCCACAAGAGGAGATTTGGAAGTGCATCAAAGACAAACTTGAAATTGGGTTAACCCCTTTGTTCTCAGTTTTTGCCACTTGGCATCAACTAGCTCTATAAAGAAAGGAGAAGCTTGGAGTGCCACTTATGACCTGATTTCAAAGGCTATAACTGAAACTCTTTGGGAAATAAGTGGTCATTTTTGTTCAATTATTTCATGTAATTTTTTTTCTAATTAAATTAGTGGAAACTGTTTGCTTCTAGGCACTAGTTAAGGTCTTGTTACACCAGTCCATTGGAATCGTATTTTAATTTATATACTTTTTAACTTCAAAAGGAGCAGTCATTTTAATTTCATATCCATTGCCTTGCCATCCACTGCTTCAATTTAATTTCAAATTTATTTTAAATTATGTGAACATGACCTGTTCAAAAAAATATTTGTGAAGGACACCTTTTTTCTTAGTTAAAAACTGAATATTCCTGCATACGTTCTTAAATGTACAATAAACCACACAACTATGTAATTAGATTTAAGAACATGCAACATGACAAAGTGAAAATTAGCCATACATAGATTAAAATATTTATGGCAATATGCTCAGTCAACCCATTCCTGCTTTTTTTCTAGTTGAAGATATTTGTGGTCTTAAGAGGTTTATTTCCCATACTAGTTTGTACTTCCATTTTCAGTTCTAAATAGAATCTGTTTTCTCCAATTAGACTTCACGGGAGTTATCTGTTGTTCACTCTGTTTTTTTAGAAAGCAAGTTTGCCAAAAAATAAAATAAAATAAAGAGAGAGAGAGAGTTTTCCACATTTATGGGTGTGCAGAAGCAGTACCAAGGGCAGAAGTAGTTGTAGTGACAACTTCTTTATTCTTTTAATCCCTGCATTGGAGCTATACTATACATTCTCCGGATTCCAAGATGTCAAGAAGCCATTGCTTTGATAGCGATAGGGGAGAAAAGGAAATTTATTTTCCTCACTCATGTCAAGGTTAATGGCTTACACTCCTATAACAGAACATAGATTAACATGAGGAAAGCATAACAAATTTATTTAACCAAAGTTTAATGTGACATGGGAGCCTTCAGAAGTGAAGACCCAAGGATCCATGGCAAACTCTATTTTTATGATTAGGTTCAATAAAACTGGATAGTTGTGTAGAAGTATGACTGAATAAAAATGGGGTATGAACTACTGGTAACAAACTTGGAGGAATTTAGCAAGGCTTATATGTTCAGATTCTTCTTGGCCTGTGGATATACGGTAGAACGCCCCAGAAATGAGGTTCTTATGACCTACTACCAGGTAAGGAGGGCCAAAGAATTTTCTTTAGACCATGCATCAGGGGAGAAAGGTGGGAGGTGGTCAGAGTAACCTTCTCGCCCCTGCAGTTTTCTCAATGCCCAACTTGCCGTATTGTGAAGTGTCTTGTTCTCAGCCCTGACACAGAATTTTAGGCAACTGTTGATTTCTTGCTTCCAACATACAAAGAGTAACCTAGAGCAAGTTGTATATGTTCTGAGAAAGTTTCTTTGAGGTTTAGCCTAGAATCTGGACTTTCGAAATTTTCGCAGATTTTATAGGCAACAAGCTCTTGGTTAAAATAACTAGACGTGGCCCAGTGCAGTGGCTCACGCCTGTAATACCAGCACTTTGGGAGGCCAAGGTGGGCGGATCAGGAGGTCAGGAGATCGAGACCATCCTGGCTATTATGGTGAAACTCTGTCTCTACTGAAATACAAAAAAAAAAAAAAAAAAAATTAGCCGGGTGTGGTGGCATGTGCCTGTAGTCCCAGCTACTCAGGAGGCTGAGGCAGGAGAATGGCGTGAACCCGGGAGGTGGAGCTTGCAGTGAGCCGAGATCGCGCCACTGCACTCCAGCCTGGGCGACAGAGCGAGACTCTGTCTCACAAAAAAAAAAAAAAAAAATAGACTTTTTTTTTTTTTTTTGAGACGGAGTCTCGCTCTGTCGCCCAGGCTGGAGTGCAGTGGCCGGATCTCGGCTCACTGCAAGCTCCGCCTCCCGGGTTCACGCCATTCTCCTGCCTCAGCCTCCCGAGTAGCTGGGACTACAGGCGCCCGCCACCTCGCCCTGCTAGTTTTTTGTATTTTTTAGTAGAGATGGGGTTTCACCGTGTTAGCCAGGATGGTCTCGATCTCCTGACCTCGTGATCCACCCGTCTCGGCCTCCCAAAGTGCTGGGATTACAGGCGTGAGCCACCACGCCCGGCCAAAGAATAGACTTTTATGAACCGAGTCTTGACTGATCCAGACACTTAGAAGCACTAGGATTCACATGCACTCATTCACATTTTTTTACTACTCACTTGCAATTTCTTTTCACCCTCAAATGCCTATTTGGGGATTATTTTCACTTCTGATAGAGGAGGACATGTGTCTAAATTCCAATTTTTACCAAATTACTGTTGTATTAGGATTACTGCCATGCTCTTCCTGTGTCTTTCTGTGTTCTTTCCTGCTTAGAAGTGTTTCTCCTTTAATAAAATAAAAAAGATAATATTAGCAAATGGAAAAAAAAAAGCAAATACAACAACAGTAACAACAAAAACAGAAATATACATACGAAAATAAGACACATCTACTGATCAATTTTCCATCTACATACTGGTTAATTGGAAATAGCATTCCCATTAATTATGTAATAATTTAGTACCATTTTGTGATCTAAAGCAAAGAGCTTTATGTTCACTTGTCAAAATGCCCTGAAACAAAGCACCATGGAGTGGATCTGCAAAAAGAAGGTCTTTATTTATGGTTAGCATGAGGGTTACTGTGAAAGTAATACTCCCCTGCCTTCTGACCATAAGCAAACGTTTTATATGTCTCAGGGAAGTGGTTTGATCAGGAGTAAAAGGAACAAGGAAACAAGAATGTGTTGTGCCAGGCAAAGTAGTTTTCTAAAGCAAATGGCCTCCAGGTAAGCAAGGCTAAAAAAGTATGTTCTGCAGGTTCAAGTTAAGAAGGAAAACTGACAGTTTAAGCAAGTTTTGAGTTTGGCAAGTACTTTAAGGCTAGAGGAATATTGTTGTAGGTGTTACACAAAAGATCTTAATATTTATAATCTGGAACAATATATCAGTTTATTCTGGGTATCTTTCAAAAGTACATACCTTTGTCAAACCTGAGACACTGTACACTTAAGATCTGTGCTTTCTATTGTAAGTAAAATCTCAAAAGAAAAATAATTAAAATGGTGAATTCTAAGTAACAATGTGCATGCTATTTATGGAAAGCTGAACTGACTTCTAAATTTTACTTTTTAGACATCATAAATAAAATGGAATAATAGATGGATAAAATGTTGCATAGATACAAGTAACATGCAGTACCATGTCAATGGTAGACATTTGACAGATACATTATGGACACTGTAATATTATTTCAACTATGCTACATATTTGAAAATTTGTCTAAAAATATTTGGAAAAAGAAGCAGCATTTTAAAAAAGACAGGATTCAATAAGAGTTTATGAATACTATGATGTTTGAAATAAAAAGCATAAATAAGTGATTATATTTTCTTGGGGAGCAGGGCAGGCATGCAGCATGCGTAGGAATTCTATAGTAAAAGAAACTAACTCCACAATCAGCTTTATTACTATCCTTTAAATAACCTTGCTGAAATCAAATACATGATATAATGAAGATAATAATATATCTCATGACTTCTCATTGTATTGTGAAGATTAATGTTCAAATTACTATGCAAATATATATTTGTATTATTCAAGTTAAGGATTCCATTTAATAACACTCTAGCAATACACAAATTCAATGCTTGCCTTTTAAGCACAGATTGGAAGGTCAGAAAGTAAAATTTTCCTCTCTAATCCTTGGGGTTTCTTTCCCTTCTATTTTAGGCCGGTGTTAATTGCTGATAAATGGTGGCAATTTGTTAGAAGCAGACAGGATTGTATCTAACCAGTGGAGCAGAGTAAAGCATTGTTAAGCAAAACCCCTCAGATTTGATGGAGATCTGTAAAAAAACAGTATAAAGGCAGCATTGAAGCTAGTCTCCATTAGAAAAAGGAAGACACCAATACAATGACAATACAATGTGTCCCGTTGTTAACTAAGACACGTGAAAGTGCGATACCAGCAATATCCACAGGGTTATTGACAGAAATGAGGACTAGTGCATTCATTTCCTATTGTGGCATAGCAGAGGACCACTCCCATGGCAGCTTAGCACACACGTTTATTACGTGACCGATTCCATGGTTCAGGAGTGCTGCTCAGGTAAGCAGGGACTTCTGCTCAGGATCTCTCTGGTTGAATTCAAAGTTGGCAGGGACTACTATCTCATCTGAAGTTCAGAGTCCACTTTTCAAGTTGGCATGTTTTTTGATAGAATTCAGTTCCTTTTGTTTGTAGAACCAAAGTCCGCCCCCTCACTTTTTTTTTTGATAGTTGTCAGACAGAGTTTAGTCTCAGCCCCTGAAGGCTGCTCTCAGATTCTATCCACATGCCCCTGTCACAGCATGGAAACTTGTTTCTCCAAAGCCAGCAGGGGACTCTCCCTCTGGTCTGCTGTAATGGATGGAGTCTTATATAATGTCACATAATCACAAGAGTTACTATCCCTTTAAATTTAGAGGTTCTGTCCGTAGTCAAGCAGGAGGGAATGCACAGAGTGTCCATCAGGCGACAGGAATTTTAGGGGCCATCCTAGAATTCTGCTGACAGGGACATTGACAAGAAAATTAATATTGTCTTAATTTTAAAATTTCAAAAAAAATGTTCAGCTTGTCGAAAAAGATGACTGATTCATGAGTAGAGTTCAAAAATAATACTAAAATACTAGGTCATTAATGATTCCAATAAAATAGGGAAAGTTTGCAGTGAAAGAACTGAGAACATTGGGACTCAAAAAGGAAACTAACAGAAGCAAATGACAGCTCTGGGTTTTTGCAACCTATACAGGAACCTTAACAGAGGCAGTGAGACAATCAAAAAAAGAACGTCATGATCCAAAGACATCACTGGGCTCATGAAGGATGTCATCACCAGTCTGCATGGTAACTAAAGAATGAGAGGTCAGTATAGTCTGAACAGCATCAAAATGCATTAATTTACTCATTTCTTCATTTCCTTAGTAAAGTTGTCTTCATTTGTGTCCATATGCCTATTACCAATTGTCATCTTTCTGGTGTTATATAAAAGTGAAAAAGAGAGGTCTCACTCTCAAGAAGATCCCTTCCTACTGTGAAAATACTCAAAAGAAAAATAACTGGCAACAGCAGGGAGCAAATGATGGTGGTGTGCATAGGACTTTCTAGTTGCGTAAGAGGGGCACCCAGCATGAACATTGCTTCTCCGTGTCATTTTCCTAGCATTGATGACACTTTTGTTGCCCTAAGTTCAATTTGGACTGGGCTAAGAAAAGAACCCATGATCAATGTTACAAACAGAGTGAAGTACACATTTGAAGGGATAAAATTATGACAGGCTCTTGGGGAAGCAAACAAATGGATAAAAATATAGTACTCTGGTTTGACTAGAACACACGTGGTGTGACAGGAACTGGCAAAGACGTGGATCAATAGGGAAGATTTATATGTGGATGATAAGTGATTAAGAGAGATCCGGATAGGAGTTTTATCTCCATCAGTAAAGGTAGATTACTTGGGCCAATTAATCAAGCTTTCCAATTCTCAGTTTCATCATCTTAGAATGGGGTAATATATATCACAAGGATATAGTAGACCAAAAGAGACCAAGAATATACAGCCTGTACTCATGCTCGGCACTGAGGGAATCTTCAGTACATAGCAACTATCATTAACTAGGTAATTAGTTAAATTCTAGGCAAAGAAAATTTTTTCAAAAAATCCAATAAATGGTTTAAAGCAGGTGGGTGTGGTGTAGGTGGCAGCAAGATGAGATTTGTATTTTAGAAATATTGCTCCATCAAGAGCTTACAACATTGATTAAAAGGAATTGAGGCTGGAGGCAGGGAGATGAATAAAGGCATAATAATGGGACCTTTCGCTAAGTTCATGGCAGTAAAGACAGTGAGCAGAGGAAGGATTTGAGAGACATCTAGAGTAGAAACATTAAAAATTCATGATGAACTGAGAAGGAAAAACATCAAATGATTCCTAAAGTATCACATTTGGCTGATTAAGTTAATAGCAGCATTATATACTGATGAAACAAGATGTGTTATAAAGAAAATAAAAAAGATAACATTTCTATTCTTATTCAACTACCCCCACCCCAAAGAATTAAGGGAGCATGGGGAGACCACGGAGAATTTTGCAGGGCTGGAAGCTGTGAAAGAAAGTGATTGGCAGAAAGTGGCAGAAACTGCCAATGAGGGTGAAAGGAGAGCCCTCAAGAGCCAAAATAGGAAGGAGATTGTGATTTTGAATGTGTGGGTGTTAAGGTTTTTATTAACATTCCTTTTTAAAGATGATGTAGAGCATCCAGGATCTTGGAGGGGGATGGTGGCAGGTTGTGGTCCAGGAAGGCTGGCTCGACCAGGTACTGCCAAATTCTGCACATCTCCTTGTATCCAGATATAACACAGAAACAGCCAAAGCATCCACCTGCATACAAACCTCAGGTCTCGGACAATATATGTTCCTGCAGGGCACAGTGTAAGCTAAGATTATAGGACTGAACCACAGGGTTCTGGAAAATTTATTTCCTCTGAACTTTATCAGGCCCTGGAGAGGGAGAGTCCTCAGAAGTGCTGAGTTTTAATTTTTGATACCACAGACAAGAAAGGTTATTTAAATTAGAAAGATACAAATAATGCATGTTTTCGTATAATCTGATATAGGTGAAACATAGTGGAAATAATTTTGCTAATTGCGTGTAAAACTGTGAGAAGTTTGTAAGAAAATGTTGCAAGATCTTGAATGACATGTGAATTTGCTTCTGGGAAGAGACATTTGGAATAGAGATATAAATTCGGAGGTCATCAACGTATAGGTAAAAAGTAAGATGTTGGGCATATATTAAATCATCCAAAGTTAAAGAATGTAGATTGAGACTTGAAAAAGGTCACAGACAGAAACCTTAGAGATATCTTCTTTTTATGTGTGTGAGAAAGAAGGGCTACCAAAAAAGAATGAGACCAAAAATTACAATCTTACCACTATCTTATAAATGACTTCCCTGAGAAGAAGAAAAACCAAAAAACAAAGATGCTTTAGGTCACATTAAAGGAAAGAGCCTTAAAAAATAAAGAAGGATCCATGGTAAGATAAGAAGAAATTATTGAAAGGTGAACTAAAATAAATATATCCTGAAAAATATCAATTGGATTTAGTAATTAGACTCCAATGAGACAAGTCTTAATTTTTTTCATAGCTTAATTTAAACTGTTATAGATTATGTCAGTGGTAAAATGTCATTTAAAAATATTGTGCCTATAATTTTCTTCTCAATAACTTTAGAAGATAGGACAGTCTTCTTCATCATGTTTATGATTCAGAAATCAGAGCCTTGATGAAACATGGTAATTTTTTTCAGTGTCTCACAATAAATAAGAGACAGGCCTTGGATTCAGATGTGTTTGAGTAGATCTCAAAGGAGAAAGGTTACTGGAGGAGGTTCAGGTTGCTGTGAAATCTGCTCTGCAATTTCATATGATGCAGAAGATCTAAAGAGAATGGGGTCATATGATGCAGAAGATCTAAAGAGAATGGGGTCATATGATGCAGAAGATCTAAAGAGAATGGGGTCATATGATGCAGAAGATCTAAAGAGAATGGGGTCATATGATGCAGAAGATCTAAAGAGAATGGGGATGCTAAGTGGTGTCTCAGGCCACTTGGCATCCTCATTCAAAAAAAAAAAAAAAAAGACTTCCAGAAAGAGCTCTAGGATTCTGAGGCAACATAATGCTCTCTATGACAGAGTCAATCACTCTTGAAAGCAGCAGTTTCTAGTTACCCTGCATTAAGTAACAAGTGGTGTTTTGCATCATGAGCTAAAATTTCACAGATTCACTGAGTCATTCAGTTGAATGGGAACAGCTACAATCTACTGTGTGTTGAAGATGCATGTCCAGAATTAGGCCCAAACAAATCCAGAAGTTAAAAATAAATTATATAAGTAGGTGGCTTAGATCCCATAGCATCTAGCTGTTGAATCGGTGCCTCTTCCTCAGCTTGCGCTTGTGGACACATAATGGCTCTCCTAGGACAATCGCCAAAGAAGGAACTAATTGGGTCTGGCTCATCAATGGATTGATATAATACATTGATGGTCACAGTAGACCGAGTCAGGGACTGGGCCTATAATATGATGATAAAAGGATATGAACAAATTTGAGAGTGGTAAGTGTATAGACGTTCTGTCTGAATTCAGGGAGAAGCAACCCACGGTACAGGTGAAGATGGAGTCCCAGATGGTAAATAGTAAATAGGTTGCCTGGTTGATCGAGGACTTGGAGGAAAAACAAATGAAAAGAGAAAAGAAAGTGTTGAGAATGGTGATGCATGCAGACTGTGTTTCTGAGTTCGAAATATGCAATCTTTCATCTGACCAGAGACCATCCACTAAAAAAGAGGCACGAGACAGCCAAGTGGATAGGATACCTGGCTAGCTTAAATGTCAGCCAGCCTCCCTCTTTAGCCATTTAAGTGCTGCTGCAAAAGTCTCATGAATGAACTAACCATGGCTGCTGCTTTTGAGGTGACCCTAAGCTGAGACAAATAGGCTTTTGAAAGGCAGGTCTTCTGAGCACCCCTGAGTAACTTGTTTTTGCGATTGTCTGTTGTTGATGTCAGTCAGTTGATGACTCTGGTCTCACAGGAAAGTTGGTTCTAATATATCAACCCCCATAGCTTCTCAACTCTTTCTAATACTATGGCAAGGCATTTTTGGTCAAGTCCATCTAGCTCATTATCATATCCAAACTTCAATAAGTCATTCTGGCAACATGTTAGCACATCTCCAATATCCTGGCTAAAAAATTAATTCCTGTATGATGGGAGAGTATAAGTAAGTTTAGTATGTTTTTTTTTTTTTTGCCATCCAACTTTACATTCTGCCACATCTAAAAAATATCTTTTGAAAACTAACTATATTTTCATAAATTTCATCTCAATACATGATAGCAATGCCCTAGACTTCCTCTGGAGTTTACGTTACTTCTTACTTGATACAGATTCTCTCCACGGAAGTTGATGTGGAAGAGAAGTTAAATATTAAATTTAAACTCAATTAAACATGGACACAAACAATGGTCACCAAGTTCTGGAACAAGTTGTATGAGCCCCTTGAGGCATTCATCCAGCACTGTTTCTTAGAAATCTCTATTTCAATCTATTCCTATATGTTAGTTATTAAAAAACAACAGACAGTCACAAAAGCAAGTTGATCTTTTTGTGTTCCTTGAGCCCAGCTGGGAAGGGCCCTTGTGACTGGGCTTCACGCCAAACAACTCGTTACAAAAAGAACTAGGGTCCCAGATTGTGCTGAAGCTTCATGAGACCTCTCCTGTCTGTGTATGGACGAGTGGCCAACTCTGGAGCCCAGGCTGTCGCTTCCCGGTCTGGTGGTGAATCCTTTATAATCTGGTGAGTGCAGTGTCTGACTCTCGAGCTCAGGCTGATGCTTTCCGGACTGGTGATGAATCCTTCATAGCTGGGTGAGTGTAGTGTCTGGCTCTGGAGCCCAAGCTGTTGCTTCTCGGTCTGGTGATGCTTTCTCCATAGTATGGTGAGTGTAAATATATGCATTATCTTTTCCCTTCTCTCCTTCCCATATCAATTTACTTATTATATCATGTGCTTATTATATGTGTATTGCCATATACTTTGGATAAAGGCTGCTTACCATTAAAAGTATTGAGTGTACCTTTTCTTTTCCCCTCATGCGTCTCCAGCACAGAACAGTTGGTCTAAAAACAATGTGAATTATTCTCTTTAGTAAATTGGAGAAAGGAAGAGGACAAGTGTCATCTGGTAAAGCAACTTCTTCAAATGTGATCTTTGCAAGGTTTTCAGATAAGGGGAACCTACTCTTGTTTACAAAGAAATAAAGTAGCTACTTAAACAGAAGCTTCAAGAAAACCTGT